TTTATGGCTGAGTCATTTATGGAGTGGACCTATAAAATTTATGGTTGAGTCATTTGTGGGGAAGGGTCATAGTAAAAAAAATAGATAAACAAACCTAAAAAAATAGACCAGCAATTTACCTAAAATATAAAATTTATGGCTGAGTCATTTATGGAGTGGACCTATAAAATTTATGGTTGAGTCATTTGTGGGGAAGGGTCATAGTAAAAAAAATAGATAAACAAACCTAAAAAAATAGACCAGCAATTTACCTAAAATATAAAATTTATGGCTGAGTCATTTATGGAGTGGACCTATAAAATTTATGGTTGAGTCATTTGTGGGGAAGGGTCATAGTAAAAAAAATAGATAAACAAACCTAAAAAAATAGACCAGCAATTTACCTAAAATATAAAATTTATGGCTGAGTCATTTATGGAGTGGACCTATAAAATTTATGGTTGAGTCATTTGTGGGGAAGGGTCATAGTAAAAAAAATAGATAAACAAACCTAAAAAAATAGACCAGCAATTTACCTAAAATATAAAATTTATGGCTGAGTCATTTATGGAGTGGACCTATAAAATTTATGGTTGAGTCATTTGTGGGGAAGGGTCATAGTAAAAAAAATAGATAAACAAACCTAAAAAAATAGACCAGCAATTTACCTAAAATATAAAATTTATGGCTGAGTCATTTATGGAGTGGACCTATAAAATTTATGGTTGAGTCATTTGTGGGGAAGGGTCATAGTAAAAAAAATAGATAAACAAACCTAAAAAAATAGACCAGCAATTTACCTAAAATATAAAATTTATGGCTGAGTCATTTATGGAGTGGACCTATAAAATTTATGGTTGAGTCATTTGTGGGGAAGGGTCATAGTAAAAAAAATAGATAAACAAACCTAAAAAAATAGACCAGCAATTTACCTAAAATATAAAATTTATGGCTGAGTCATTTATGGAGTGGACCTATAAAATTTATGGTTGAGTCATTTGTGGGGAAGGGTCATAGTAAAAAAAATAGATAAACAAACCTAAAAAAATAGACCAGCAATTTACCTAAAATATAAAATTTATGGCTGAGTCATTTATGGAGTGGACCTATAAAATTTATGGTTGAGTCATTTGTGGGGAAGGGTCATAGTAAAAAAAATAGATAAACAAACCTAAAAAAATAGACCAGCAATTTACCTAAAATATAAAATTTATGGCTGAGTCATTTATGGAGTGGACCTATAAAATTTATGGTTGAGTCATTTGTGGGGAAGGGTCATAGTAAAAAAAATAGATAAACAAACCTAAAAAAATAGACCAGCAATTTACCTAAAATATAAAATTTATGGCTGAGTCATTTATGGAGTGGACCTATAAAATTTATGGTTGAGTCATTTGTGGGGAAGGGTCATAGTAAAAAAAATAGATAAACAAACCTAAAAAAATAGACCAGCAATTTACCTAAAATATAAAATTTATGGCTGAGTCATTTATGGAGTGGACCTATAAAATTTATGGTTGAGTCATTTGTGGGGAAGGGTCATAGTAAAAAAAATAGATAAACAAACCTAAAAAAATAGACCAGCAATTTACCTAAAATATAAAATTTATGGCTGAGTCATTTATGGAGTGGACCTATAAAATTTATGGTTGAGTCATTTGTGGGGAAGGGTCATAGTAAAAAAAATAGATAAACAAACCTAAAAAAATAGACCAGCAATTTACCTAAAATATAAAATTTATGGCTGAGTCATTTATGGAGTGGACCTATAAAATTTATGGTTGAGTCATTTGTGGGGAAGGGTCATAGTAAAAAAAATAGATAAACAAACCTAAAAAAATAGACCAGCAATTTACCTAAAATATAAAATTTATGGCTGAGTCATTTATGGAGTGGACCTATAAAATTTATGGTTGAGTCATTTGTGGGGAAGGGTCATAGTAAAAAAAATAGATAAACAAACCTAAAAAAATAGACCAGCAATTTACCTAAAATATAAAATTTATGGCTGAGTCATTTATGGAGTGGACCTATAAAATTTATGGTTGAGTCATTTGTGGGGAAGGGTCATAGTAAAAAAAATAGATAAACAAACCTAAAAAAATAGACCAGCAATTTACCTAAAATATAAAATTTATGGCTGAGTCATTTATGGAGTGGACCTATAAAATTTATGGTTGAGTCATTTGTGGGGAAGGGTCATAGTAAAAAAAATAGATAAACAAACCTAAAAAAATAGACCAGCAATTTACCTAAAATATAAAATTTATGGCTGAGTCATTTATGGAGTGGACCTATAAAATTTATGGTTGAGTCATTTGTGGGGAAGGGTCATAGTAAAAAAAATAGATAAACAAACCTAAAAAAATAGACCAGCAATTTACCTAAAATATAAAATTTATGGCTGAGTCATTTATGGAGTGGACCTATAAAATTTATGGTTGAGTCATTTGTGGGGAAGGGTCATAGTAAAAAAAATAGATAAACAAACCTAAAAAAATAGACCAGCAATTTACCTAAAATATAAAATTTATGGCTGAGTCATTTATGGAGTGGACCTATAAAATTTATGGTTGAGTCATTTGTGGGGAAGGGTCATAGTAAAAAAAATAGATAAACAAACCTAAAAAAATAGACCAGCAATTTACCTAAAATATAAAATTTATGGCTGAGTCATTTATGGAGTGGACCTATAAAATTTATGGTTGAGTCATTTGTGGGGAAGGGTCATAGTAAAAAAAATAGATAAACAAACCTAAAAAAATAGACCAGCAATTTACCTAAAATATAAAATTTATGGCTGAGTCATTTATGGAGTGGACCTATAAAATTTATGGTTGAGTCATTTGTGGGGAAGGGTCATAGTAAAAAAAATAGATAAACAAACCTAAAAAAATAGACCAGCAATTTACCTAAAATATAAAATTTATGGCTGAGTCATTTATGGAGTGGACCTATAAAATTTATGGTTGAGTCATTTGTGGGGAAGGGTCATAGTAAAAAAAATAGATAAACAAACCTAAAAAAATAGACCAGCAATTTACCTAAAATATAAAATTTATGGCTGAGTCATTTATGGAGTGGACCTATAAAATTTATGGTTGAGTCATTTGTGGGGAAGGGTCATAGTAAAAAAAATAGATAAACAAACCTAAAAAAATAGACCAGCAATTTACCTAAAATATAAAATTTATGGCTGAGTCATTTATGGAGTGGACCTATAAAATTTATGGTTGAGTCATTTGTGGGGAAGGGTCATAGTAAAAAAAATAGATAAACAAACCTAAAAAAATAGACCAGCAATTTACCTAAAATATAAAATTTATGGCTGAGTCATTTATGGAGTGGACCTATAAAATTTATGGTTGAGTCATTTGTGGGGAAGGGTCATAGTAAAAAAAATAGATAAACAAACCTAAAAAAATAGACCAGCAATTTACCTAAAATATAAAATTTATGGCTGAGTCATTTATGGAGTGGACCTATAAAATTTATGGTTGAGTCATTTGTGGGGAAGGGTCATAGTAAAAAAAATAGATAAACAAACCTAAAAAAATAGACCAGCAATTTACCTAAAATATAAAATTTATGGCTGAGTCATTTATGGAGTGGACCTATAAAATTTATGGTTGAGTCATTTGTGGGGAAGGGTCATAGTAAAAAAAATAGATAAACAAACCTAAAAAAATAGACCAGCAATTTACCTAAAATATAAAATTTATGGCTGAGTCATTTATGGAGTGGACCTATACAATATATGGTTGAGTCATTTATGGAGTGGGCTCATAACAAGAAGATTAAATCTGCACCATCAATTTAAAATTTTGAATTGGATTAAGATTTTTTTTTTTTTTTAGTTCACTTGATTTGTCTAAACCAAAACAACCACAATAGGGTAAGAAAAATGAGGTATGAAAATCAACTAGTAAGGAAATGGGGATGAATAAGGAAAGCCTGCAATGCAAGGCAAGGAGTGAATTTTTGTTTGTTTCTGCAGAAAGAACACAATAGTCTTTGGTGCAGAAAGGGAATATATATAGCAAGCTCCATGGGTGGCTAAGGACAAACTATTCAATGCTCTTAGAGCATTACATGTTCATGTTTCTTCATTAATCATTATACACCATACATTTTCATGTTCTTCAACCACCCGACAAAAAATCGTGAGTTTACCTTCTCCATCAATCACAATATCTTAGAGCACCTCATGGCGATAATCTTAGAACACCCAATAACTGCTTGTGGCTAAGTCTTCAAGGCTAGAGAACAGAAAATGCCATTTTGGAATCTCTATTGGAATGGAAGTTAGTGGTCAGTAATGAGAAAGTTGGGTCTCTTTGAGTCCTATTTTACTGATGGATATCCACCCAATTTTTTTGATGGATAGATCAGTAGCTGAAGTTGATTAGCTTTTAAATGTTGCCTTTCGATTTGTTAGTGCCTTTTGCTAAATCCAATTTATTTATTTATTTTTCTGTTAGATGGGAAATTACTCTGTTATAACCTCTCTCTATATGTGTCACACACAAAAATACAAACAGAAAAGAGTATATCCTCTTATCTTTTTAATTATCCCTCCATTAATGTAATCACCTGAGCTTTAGGTACAACAAGTCAATCATCATAAGTTGAAGAAACAACCAAGATAACCTCATTTAAAAATTTTCCACATAACAAGCTTCAGTGGTTTTCACAGAATTCTTGTTACTGGTTTCCATGGAAGGATTTCTGTCTTAACTAAAACCATTTAATACCAAGCTTTTTCAGTTATATACTTTAAATTAGATTTGAGGCAAAGAGACAAAGATGAGGTGATATTCACTACTACTTCAATACTTTCTAAGATGTGAAGATGCAGCAATGTGAATATATGTTTTTACTGTGAAATATTATTGTTAATGCCAATGCCAAATCCAATTGATCAAATCATAAACTCCTAACAAAAATCTAATAAAGTTGACAATAACAAAAAAACAAATCATCCTAAAAACAAGTACCTAACATTATAAACTACTTGGCAATTAAACACTGCACTGAAGCTTGTGTAACATGTTACGAATAAGCCATCCAGTCATGAACTTGTAAGCCTCTTGCGTCAAGTGAACTCCATCCCAACTGATGTGTTGATTGGGATTAGAGCAAACCGGAAGACCAGCTCCACACATCCTCGTAAGACTGAAGTTGTAGTTACCTCCAATTCCGCAACAAGCTTTTTGTAGAGACATGACATCAAATCCTGTATACAACATAACAAAACAAAAAATTAAGATAATCATAAATAATCTTTATTATCAACTTACTATTCTGTGTTGTCTCTTTTAGTTAAGGTGTAAAGACTCACCAAGGTACCAAGCATTTTGGAAAAGAAAGCGGAATGCATGATAGTAATCACCATACACTATGACCACATTGGGGAACTCGTTCTTCAAATCTTTGATAGCACGTCGTAAATTATCATTGTGGTATTTGGAAAAATCATTTAGTTCCTTCAAGCATTGATCTTCATCATATACTGCAGTGTCGTTAGTTTGGAATCTGGTAAGATAGATTGGAAAACAACCTATCGGAAAGTTTCCAGGGACAATCACTCTCACAGCACCATAATGTATGACACGCTGCAAGCAACAAAATTAAATAGAGTTGATATATGGCAAGTAATTAAGAGAGGTATCTCAAATGAAGTTGAATGAAAACATAATGATTTAATAAAATTGAAAAAAATCTTACTCTAACAGCATTCTTTATAGCTTCGACAACATTGGGAACAATTTTCTTTACTTCTTCGATGCTTTTGCCTGGAAGTAGCGCATAGTTGTAATCATTCCCTCCAATTTCTCCAACCATAAAGAGCGAGTTTTTAAGTTTTTCCACACAATCTGTCAACACAATCATGTAAACATATCATGTATTCAAATCATAAGTTAAAAAAAAAAAAAAAAAAAAAAAAGAAAAAAGAACTTTTTTTAAGAAAAAAGCTCAGGTATTTAATTTGATTGACACACCAACCTCCTCTTGTTTTGCAAGTAGAATTAAAATGTGTAGACATCCAACCAAGTTGGACACTAAGTGAGCTGTTAGTTACTGGAGATAAAATGTTCTCGCTAGCAAGAATCTCGGTTGGTAATGCAGTAGAGCCAGCCACTGCGAAATTGACTCCATGTCTAAAGTCTGCATCATCAGTGCTCTTGTAGGGATTGAGAAACGGAAGCCCCGCTGCCATTGCTACGAAGATACAATACACAACACAGTTTAAAATTTGAGCTAAAGGAAAAATACATACATTATTTAACTTAATTTTCATAAATACCCGCAAAAAGCAGGCTTGCAGACCTAAGTAGTTTATAGACAAGAAGATGGGCCATGGTTGAACAAATAACGCCATGGAAAAAGGAAAACCAATGCTTGGCTGAGTTTTTAGAACTTGTTTTTTAATTTAAAAATAAATAAATATGTTAGTTTGGCAGAATATGCATCAAAAAATAAAATTTTGAATTTACAAAAATTATTTTCACCCCAAAAGAAAAAACCATACGAACATGATGATTTTTTTGTTTTTCAAAAGATAGATTCTGAACTAGGAGACAATATCCTCTTTTTTAAAAATTGAGATTTTGAGAATTTAGAAAAATAAAAACAAAAATAAAATAAAAACAGAGTGGCAGTAGTAAAAGAAAGGTTCATAGTTACATGATATAATTATAAGGGTGGATGACACTAATAATCTCTATAGTTTGGGACTCATGTTACTTTAGCCATTGACTTTTTAATTATGACGCATTTGATCTTAAATTTTGAATCTTGTTTCAAATAAAAATAATTGAAAATACCATTATTTAATTTTAATGGAAAAATTGTCAATTTGATAAAATATAAACTAATTTGACAAAAATAAATATTAAAAAAATATTTTTGAATTTTTAAAAATTATTTTTACCCACCAAAAATAAAATTATGTAAAATTAATAAATCTTTTAGACATGTATTTATTTATTTTTTACCAAATTAATTTTTATTATGGATTTGGATGATGATCATGTAATGGGTAGGCGTGGGGATTTTAATGTGTCATCGATATATTCAAAGTTATCGTCATATTTGACTTTTGGACAAATAAAAATTAATTTAATAAAAATAAAAACAACCATCCATTATATGATCATCATCCAAACACATAATAAATATTAATTTTGTAAAATAAATAAATGTTTAAAAGATTTAAAATTCTTAGTTAAATGTGTCACAATTGAAAAGTTAAGAACTAAAATGACACAAGTTCCAATCTATATGAACCGTTAGCATAATTCGCCCTCATTATAACTATACATGACAAATTAATAAGAAAAGAATAAGGTAATTAAATGAAGAATAATAGTAGGGATCATGAAAAAAATATCATAAAATGCATTATCAAATTATCAAATTTTTTTATCTTTTAATTAATACGTGATGTTTTATATACGTGTAATCCAAAAGTAGAGAATATTTCATGTCATGATATTTTTTTCATAACTCCTAACCTTACTCTTAAATGAATTTCACAGTTTTCATACCTATATAATCTATCATAAGCAAGCCATTGGAGCAACGACCCGTGGCGTTTTTAAAGAACGTTTCGCCATAGGGAAGGTGAGCGAAAGGCGTGGCAGCGCCAATAGGATTCTCATGGATCAAATTACCCGTGTCGGATATAGAATCTCCAAGCTGATATATCTCATGAAAGTTGCAAATCTTCAATGGATGAGCATTACATGGATGAGAAACAAAAACAAAAGACAAGCTCACTATAAACATAGACAAAAATAAAAGCACTCGACCAGACACCATTGTTGCTCAACACAACACAAGACAGACCTATAACTAGAACTAGTAATCAGACAGAGTAATAGCATTAAATCAAACAGATATCAGTAATAATTTGCAATGATAGAGCATAGGTTATATATAATAGAGAATGATAAGTTAGAACTTTACTAGGTATACCAAATCCTATTCCTAACAGAAATATGTATCCAAGTCCTAAGGAAATATGATTCCAAATATGTTTCAGTGCAGTGCCTTACCAAATTACTCCTTACTTATTTTTGCATTTATAATTGTTTTCCATCTAGGACTGTTAACTTTTCTCGTTTTTGGTGTTTAACTAAAATTTTTTTAAGAAAATTTATTATGGGGAAAATATCATTTTACCTTCTAAACTATCACTCGAAAATCAATTTGACCCTTATGATTAAGGCCGAATTGTGCAACATTGAGGCTGTTAATTAGGATCTCTTAACTTTACTTACTTGTCAAACTATATATTTTATATCTTTTTAATATCAATCCAGTTGTACATAGTCGGAGCATAAAATGGACAAAAATACAGAATTTGGAGAGTTTCCCGTACATGCGTTGACTTTCAAAATTTGATGGGTCGTTTCACACACCAAAATTAAACACTAAAGTATACCAAATTCTTTTAGAATAATGGCAAGTTCAGGTATCGATCCACTGAGATAATTTTGAAATTAGACTAATTTAATCGTTAAATTTCTAAATTAATTTTGATTAAAAAGATTGAGAGATTTTATGACTAAACAGGAATTAAATGAAATTGAGAAATTAAATTGACAATTAAACGTAGGGTTTGAGAGATTAATTTTTGGGAAAAATCCCAAGGCAAAAAATTCACCACTACCTATATAAACGAGATTAAACATCGGCCAATAATTGTAATTCAGTTTGAAATACACAATATTTCACAACTACAAGTTTGAAATATTGATCAAGAGGGTTGTTGCATTCAACGTGCAGGCACGAATCATCCCGAGTAACACGAGGCGTTTGCTCTAAACTACGATAGCAACACGACCCGTCTCTCATAGCATGACTCGTTTCGTACTTTGAATACAAACACAAAGAAAACTAATATATAGAAACCATTAAATAATCACAGAGAGTAAAATACTTGAAGAGATGAAAAAAATAATTATTATAAACTTCTAAAACATCCATACATGTGTTCAAACCGTTTCACAATTAAAGCCTAAGAAAAATCCCTTTTACATGGCTAGGGTATCATCAAAACCTTAGAAAAGAAGAGCCTAGCCACTCACGGAGGAGTGGGAAGAGATGGAAACCCCCATGGAAGTTGTCTTTGAAGCTTGAGGGTAAATCACATTCTCTAAACCCTAGCCTCCCTTTCCTTAGAATAAATTTTGAACCCTAATCCAGCCTCTTTCTTACCTTTTGATACCTCTACTGTCTTTCAAATAGGTTCAAAACATCAAGCCCGTTTTTCGAGTTATGGTCGCACGTGCGTGAAAAGTCAATGCATGTGTAGGAAAGTCAACACACGTGCGTGAAAAGTCTTCTCTCTCCAAATTCTTTATTTTTGTCTATTTTATGCTCCGACTATGCACAACCTGATTGACATTAAACAGACATAAAATATATAGTTTGACAAGCAAGTGAAGTTAAGAGATCCTAATTAATAGCTTCAACATTGCACAATTCAACCTTAATCACATCCCCCAACTTACAACTTACTAGTCCTCAAGCAAGCAATAAAAAAAAGAAGAAGATAAAATTAAACAAAATTTAGCTATTTCTTCTTTCATGGAAAACAGTTGCATTTAACATATGTAACAAGCCTTTAAACCACAAAGTTACCCCAAGTATATAAGTAAAGTCTCATCAGGATTTTTAGAAATGATACCTACAAACATTAATATATTCACATCTATCCAGTAAGAATCAATCACACTACACCGCTCAATAATTAACTTATGTGCCAATACAGTGCAATATTAAAACATGATGAGTCATTGACGGCACAGTAGACAAGCATGAAGGAATCTATTGAGCAAAGACCACAATTCAGTTAATACAAAAGTAAAGTCCCATGTACTTGTAAATGCTAGTAAACACATCATCAGTATCCTCGATGTAAAGTCCAATCTCCATACTAGTTAACTGTCCACTATAATAGCTCAGTGTAACTCATAATAACACCTAGCATATACAAAAAAACTAAACTAATGCAACCAAGATTCTCAATTTTTTTTTTTTTTTTTTTGAAAGACTATGCAATGTTCTGATCCATTAAGCTTTCTAATCAACCCATGTAACAAGCATTGGGCCAATGACTCCCAAACCAGACGGTTTTAGGACACTAGGTGTAAAGACACCTCTACGGGCTTAATAACTCAAGTTGAAAAAGTTACGAATCCGAACAAGTCATTCTCCTTATTTTTCCTTAACTTGCAATGTCTAGATCCCTTAAGCTTTCTAATTAACCCATGTAGCAAATATTGGGCCAGTGACTTCTAAACCAGACGGTTTTAGGGCACTAGGTGTAGGGACATCCCTACGGGCTTAATAACTTGAGTTAAAGAGACTACGAACCCAAACAGGAGGAGTGGTTGGTCGTGGATGGGGTCCTGGGCCTCGTCAACCGGGGCACCAACTTACTGCGAGATGCAAGATATGCTATGCTATCATTCCCGCTACGCGAAAGTCGGATAAGCTCTGTCAATCTCCTCCGTAGAGTCAATGGGGAGGTCGTTCAGCTCGAAGACAAGTGTGAGCAAATTGGCAAATGGTAGGGGCCAAGTCAGGTTCTGCATAGGTTGAGGTCGAACTGCCTCCTGTAGAAATTTGCGCATATGCATTCAGATAATGTGCGCAAGCGGGACCTGATAGCTATGCTGATAACTATGTAAGACCCGAACAAACTCCAAGCGGCGCTCAACTTTATGCCCAAGTGGAAGGGCATTCTTATGTACCACAGAATCAATGAATAGTAAGCGGCCAAGCAGCTTGCTCTGGCGCAAGCACGTGTAACTTGCGTCACTGTGGGCCCCCGGGAAGTACTCTTGGATGAGGCTGTGTATGGGTTGTCGGTCCTCAACTTCCGGGAAGGGCTTGTGTTCTGTCTTGGAAAAGTACCCTAACACGTCGGCAATCATGGATTCTATGATGCTGGCGAGATGGCCATCAATAGTGGACAACAGTCATACCTTGGTGAATGACTCATACATGTTCTGGTAGAAGAGTCGTACCAGACGAGGATAAGTAGACGCCGTAACCATGCAAAGGCCTAACTGTTGCCGAAGACAAAACTGCTTAACGGCCCAAGAAGTGATCGAGTCACGCTGAAAATATGTAATGTTGAACTTTGTGAGCTTGTGAAGTGGGCATGAAGTCCACTCCGACTGTGGCAACTCAATCGGTGGTGGTCACGAGGATGGTGGTGACGGCGGCGGCGGCGGCAAAGGTGCCAAGGAGGACGAACCTTTGGCCTTTTTGGAGGCCCTGGTAGATAGTTGTCTACTCATATCCTACACACACCAAAAGCAAATACACACATACTCATGGAACATTATTAGAAAAAAAGTAATATATTAAAGCACAAGTCTGCCCACTAATGTATCACATGCAATTCTCTTCAAATTTTTTTTGAGACATATAATTAAAGAAATAAAATAAATAACATACATAAAAATAAATAAATAAATAATGCAATTAGGATTTTTTTTTTGGTGAATAATAAATAAATTGAAATAATATACGAATAAATAAAAAAAATAAAAGAAACAACAAATAAATTAGTATACTACAACTAGTTATAGGCATTGATGTTAAACTAACTACTGAACAACAATACTATTTTATTTAAGTAACTACTGACTAAATAATTAAAACTAATTGAACTAAACTATCAAGTAATGAATGAAGTAATAAAATAAATAAAATAACAGAAAAATAAACAACTAAATAAATAAATAAATAAATAAATAACTTATGAAATAAGCAAAAAGCTAAGCAGGAATTTTTTTTTGGAATTTTTTTTGTTTTGTTTTGTTTTGTTTTTGTGTGTGGGCCGCACGTGCGCCGGAGGTCCGTACATGCGGTGGTCGTCTTCTTAGCTGCATTTTTTTTTTTTTTTAGAAGAACAATAGATCACTATAAAACTATACCTAAATCTTACTACAATGGAAGATTGAAAGAAGAAATCTAAAATTTTAAACAAAAAGGAAGGATTTACTTTTAAATAGTGAAGAAAGAGTGAGAAAGGAGTGAGATTCGCCGAAAAAAATGGTGGTCGTCGGAGATTTGACGGACGGAGAGGAAATAGGGCGCTGGCGGTGAGATAGTGGTCAGGAAGGAGGGTGATGGTTGGTGATGGTGGAAAGAAGAATAAAGAATGTTAGTGGTGGTGGGGCTTGAGTGAAAGAGAATGAGAGGAAGAAGATGATAAGGTAAAAAGAGAGAGAGAGAAAGAGAAATCTGTGAGAGTGATTGTGAGAAAAGTGGGTCTAAGTTAGATATTCAAAAAAAAAATTTGAATAGATAAATAAGAAATAAATAAATAAACAAGTAAATAAATAAAAGGAAAAGGATTTTTTTTTTCAAAAACGAAAATAGAATAAAATAAATTGAACAAAGAAATATGAATTTTTTTAATTTATTTTATTTTATTTTAATTTTTTGCACCATGGCACGCACTTGCGTATAAAGCAGGCGTCGAATTGGAATCAGAAAACTTCCCGCACGTGCGGGGCCCAGGCCGCACCTGCGGAGTGCAAGTTGTACCACCCCTACGCACCTGCATTTAAAGCAGAATGCAACTTGTGAACTGAAGTTGTAACCGCCTGTACGGGAAATTTTTTTTTTTTTTAAAGCCATCTATTTCCTGGCCCAACTTGTACCTTCATTTCACAATCAAAATAAGAATAGCTCTTTGAAAACAAATAAAAGCTCAATAAAGGTATACTTTTCACGCGAAAACCACGGATACTACTTTTCTTCCTAACAGTGTTTGTAACTTTCTTTATTCTCCA